GGCGGCGCGGGCTGGACCGGGGTGGGGATTCCTGTCTGGGGCCCCTGGGGCTCCTTTAAGGGCTCCTGGGTAAATTTAAAGGGGCCGCGCGCTATTTCCTCCTGCCAGCTCGCGGGGGGCTCGGGGGGGAGAGGCAAGAGGCGCCGAGCCCGGCCGAGGCTCCGCAGTCCGCGGCCGCCAGAAGCGCGGACCTCACCCCCCTCGCGGGCCCGCACCGCCGTCTCCGGGGCTCCGGTCCCCGTTCCCGAAGGGTCGCCGAGGTGCTAGGGGCGCCCGAGTCCACAGCCATGCGCTTCCACCCAGGCTCAGAGAACAGCCACCGCCCCCTCGGGTCATCTCAGCGCCCGGCTCCCGCACCGAGCAGGCAGGGGAGCGCCTAGTGCGGAGCCGGGAAGGCCAGGTCCCTGCCACAGCGCTCTTCCTCCGCGCGAGCGGGGCGCGAGCTCGGCGCGGGCCCCGAAGCGGACGCGACTGGCAGGGGCCCCAGCTGGCTGCGCCCCGCCGAGAGGGTGGAGCCGCGGGGGCGGCCGCGCCCCCTCCCGCGGGAGCCGCCCGGCAGTGCGGGGAGCTGGGCTTCTCCATTGGAGGGGCAGACGGGCGAGGCTCCCGGAGCCGGCCGCGGGCGGGGGCCTCGGCCGCGGGGGACTCGGGCGGGAGAGGGGGCTGAGCTGGGCGAGGTGGCCCCAGGCTGGAAGCCGGGAGGTTGGGCGTGCGCGACCGTGACTCAGGCTCCTGCCCCGCAGGCCAGGGGGTGCCAGATGAAGCCCTTGGCGCAGCCCCAGACCCCCGCCTAGCCCGAGGCGGCGAAGAACGCTGGCCTCGGGCAGGGTGTCGGACACCTGGGGACGTGCGCCACCACAGCCGAGAAGCGCCCACGCGGGCCCTGCCTGTGAGTCCCAGGACGCCGCGGGGGCCCCCTGCTCCCGGGAAGCGGAGAGGAACGGACCCCGCGCGGCAGCCGGGGGCGCGCGGAACGGCTGGAGGAGCAGGTGCTGGCTGTGCCGGTGGTTGGTCGCCCACAACAAAGGCAATTCCCGGAGATCCAAATTACAGGGTGCGGGAGGCCACGCAGGGTCCTGTTATCTAGAGGTGGGGTTTGTTCTCTTCACCAGCGAGGTGCGCAGCAATCGGTTAACGAGGTCACAGCGGACAGATTGGTTCGCTTAACACCTACTGTGTGCCAGCCACGGGTACTGGCACTGGGCATACAGTGGTGAACGAAACAGACAGGACTAATGCTGATTGTTTTTGTGACTTAGGCACCCACAGCTTATAAAGAGGAAACAATTCCAGCCCTTCGAGAGCCATGGGAAATATTAAATTACTTGGAACACAGGAAGCCTGTCCTCGAAGTGTTTATGAGGAGGGGACAGAAACTAAGGTTCTTAAGTGTATGTCACCTTGGGAGATGTTTGCCCATCTCTTCCTCGGTCCTCAAGATGACCTGCAGGAGAAGTCACCTTGGGTAAACAGAGTCTCCACCTCACAGCTGCGCTCTCTCCACTGTTGGCCTTGCCCTCAGGGTTTAGGTGCAGTTCCTTTCACCCACCTTGAGGTCCCTGGGGCCATGGGCGCTGGTGCTGATGGGGTGCCGGGTCGGGTTTATAACAAGAACCGGGAGATGGGTGATTCATTCACTCTTTAAGTCCTTGACCTGTGCCAGGACCAGGGCTACAGAGGGAAAATAAGACAGACCTGGCCTGGCCTTCATATTAAGTATGGTTACAAAACAAGAACAAGGCTAAAGGAGCCCAATAGCCTACAGTGAAAAGAAGCCTTTTCCTTGCCCTGAGATAATCTTTAAACCTTAAACCAAAAATATCCCCTGAAGTCTTCTTAAAACCAAAGAATAGTTTAGCTTAACTAATAAAAATGTGTTTGCCTTGAGCATTATGCTCTTTTTAAAACTGTCTATATTGGGATCGAACTGACAGCAGTAACTAGAAAGATTAGATACGAACCTTAGGGGGCAGTGAGTTTATGTTAGTGGGGGAGGAATAACTCAGTAAAAGAAAGTGAGAATGGTTGCACAACTCGAAGAATGTAATCAAGGTCACTGAATTGTACATGTAGAAACGGTTCAATTGGTGTTTGTTTTGCTGTGTATATTCTCAACAAAAACAACAAAATAAATAAAATTTTTAAAAAATAAAGCATTCTGCATTTAAAAAAAAAAAAAAAGAAGAATCCTGTTCCTCTAGGGTTGAGGGGCCTCTAACTTTAGTTGAATTTCTAATTACAAAGGTAACCCGAGCTCCGGGCCCGCCTCTGTGAGATACTTTGGTATCTGCCCTTCCAGTACTTTTTCTATATGTGTATAAATGTAAGTTGCTGTCGAATCAGCTCCTGACTCATGGCAATCCCATGCCCATGATTGGTTGCAGACTGGATCTTTCATAGAGTTTTCCTTGGCTGATTTTCATAAGTAGATCATCAGGCCTTTCCTTCTAGTCTGTCTTAGTCTGGAAGCTCTGCTCAAACCTGTTCAGCATCATAGCAACACACAAGTCTCCACTGACAGATGGGTAGTGGCTGTGCATGAGATGCACTGGCCAGAAATCAAGCCCAGGTCTCCCACACTGGGGGCAAGAATTCTACCAATGAACCACCAATGCCCTCACATGTATATAAATTGGGTATGTTTATTTGTTGTCAAAAGAAAGGCACCAAAGTCACCTGGTTCCATTTTTAACAACTTCTGACCCTCCCCTCCTCGCCCACAGCCTAAGGAATGCCCCCAAGCTCCGCAATTCCAAAGCTTTCATCATTTGGTCTTCAGATGAAGAAACGGAGGCTCAGAGAGTGGAATGTCTCACCCAAGGCCGTTCATTCATTCATGTACTCATCCCCTTACTCAGGAAGCATTTGCTGAGCCCGACCTGAGCGCCAGGTGCTGGGCTGGGCATGCAAGGGTTTACAAATGACATACCATAGCCCCTGCCTTCACCTTCAGCCCCATTCTACTGGTGAAAGGGGAAAATGCTTGCAATCAGGGCTGCATTGACTTTCCCGGGCCCTCAGCACCTCTGCCATCATGGGCAGCTTTCTCTATTTAAAAAAAAAAAATTAAATAATTTAATATATTTTTGTAGGCCTACACACCTTTTTATCTTACGGGGGGAAAAGATTAACACACTTTCTTTGACCCTTAAAGTTGTTTTTCTTGTTGTTTTTCCTCTTCTGATTTTAAAATAAATTAAACCATTTTCATGAGCTCCTAAAAGTGTGGTGGGCTCTAGGCACTGTGCCTCTTGTATCCACTGATAAGTTGGCCCTGATGGCAATAAGCATGATAAGTGACAAGGGAGAGGAAAGCCAGAGGAAGGGTCGTCCAACCTAGCAAGGCTTCCTAGGAGGGGTATTGCTCAAACCAAGTCTTGAAACCAGGACATGTTGCCAGGAGAAAGGGAAAGAGGGTTTTCCCAGCAGGCGCCAGGGAAGTGCCAGGTGAGGGAGGGTTATCAACGTGAGAGGCAGAAGAGGAAATGGAAATTAGCAGTGGCTAGAGTCCTGGGAGCCCCTCAGAGCCTGCTCAGTGCCTGGAACCAGTTTGCAGAGCATTTTGGAGGCATCCCTGAGAACATGAAGGAGGGAGCGAGGTGAGAGAAAGACAGTGAATGCTGTTAGAGCAGTCCACACCAGTAAAGACAGCCTATATTAAGGCAGCAGTGGAAGCAGGGCGAATGGAGAGGAGGAGAAAGATTTGAGCAAGGCCAGGGCAAGTTGTGGTGCAATGGCGCCTTACAAGGGTGGCGGTGGAGGGGGCAAGTGGAGGATGAAATGCCACCTGCACCTCTAGCTAAGCCAAGCACTCAGGCATCTGCAGGAGGAAAGGCCACCTCTTGTCACCAATGAGCTCTTGTTAATGAAGCTCTGTACTTGAAAGCTGCTTCTGCCCAGAACTGTTGCCATTGAGTCAATTCTGGCTCATAGCGACCCTACAGGACAGAGTAGAACTGCCCAGTAGGGTTTCCAAGGCTGTAATCCTTATGGAAGCAGACTGCCACATCTTTCTCCCACGGAATGGCTGGTGGGTTCAAACTATGGACCTTTGGGTTACCAGTCAAGCATTTAATCACTGTGCCACCAGGGCTCCTTCTTCTGCCCATAAGGGGTCCACTTTCCCAATTCATTAGCGCAGAGGGGCCCTTTAAACTAATTTCTAATTTCTAACTGGGAGTTCCTGTGCAGTGCAAACAGTTAAGTATTTGGCTGCTAACCAAAAGGTTGGAGGTTCAAGTCCACCCAGAGGCACCTCAGAAGAAACTCCTGGTGATCTCCTTCCAAAAAATCAGCCACTGAAAACCCTATGGAGCACAGATGTGCTTTGACACACATGAGGTCTGCATGAGTTGGAATCAACTCAACAGCAACTTTTTTTTTTTTTAAACCAGAGGCAACTATGAGACATGGCCCTTCCCCTCACAGTTATAGAGTCCTACAAATCAAAAAGAAAAAGACATAATCCAATTGAAAAATGGTCAAAGGCTAGGAATAGGCAATTCACAATCCAGGAAAATACAAGTGATCTGTAAAAACATGAAGAAAAGCTCAACTTGACTAGCATTCGGGGAACTGCAGGATACACAACAAGATGTCCTTGGTCACCCGTCTGACTGACAGATTTATAAGCTTGACACTATCAGGAATGGGGAAGGTGTGGGGAGAGGGGCACACAGGTTGTTGTTGTTGTTGGGTGCCCTCCAGTATCTTCTGACTCATAGTGACCCTGTGTACAACAGAATGAAACAATGCCTGGTCCTGCACCATCCTCACAATCATTGCTGTGCTTCAGCCCATTGTTGCAGCCACTGTGTCAATTCATCTTGTTGAGGGTCTTCCTCTTTTTCGCTGACCCTATGCTTTAACAAGCATAATGTCCTTCTCCAGGGACTGATCCCTCCTGATAACATATCCAAAGTACAAGAGACAAAGTCTCACCATCCTTGCTTCTAAGGAGCATTCTGGCTGTACTTCAAGACGCATTTGTTCATTCTTCTGCAATCCATGGTATATTCAATATACTTCACCAAGACCATAATTCAAAGGTGTCAGTTCTTCTTCGGTTTTCCTTATTCATTGTCCAGTTTCTCATACATATGAGATGGTTGGAAAACCATGGCTGGGTCAGGCGTACCTTATTCCCCAAAGTGACAGCTTTGCTTTTTAACGCTTGGAAGAGGTCTTTTGCAGCAGATTTGCCCAATGCAATGTGTTGTTTGATTTCTTGACTGCTGCTTCAATGGGCGTTGGTTGTGGATCCAAGTAAAAAGAAATCCTTAACTGCAATCTTTTCTCTGTTTATCGTGATGTTGCTTATTGGTGCAGTTGTGAGGGTTTTTGTTTTATGTTGAGGTGTAATCCATACTGAAGGCTGTGGTCTTTGATCTTCATCAGTAAGTGCTTCAAGTCCTCTTCACTTTCAGCAAGCAAGGTTATGCCATGTGCATAACGCAGGCTGTTAATGAGTTTTCATCCAATCCTGATGCTGCTTTCTACTCTGTAAAGTCCATCTTCTCGGATGATTTGCTTAGTATACAGATTGAGTAAGTATGGTGAAAGGATGCAACCCTGACGCACAGCTTTCCTGACTTTAAACCACACAGTATCCCTTTGTTCTGTTTGAAGGGCTGCCTCTTAGTCTAAGTACAGGTTCCTCATGAGCACAATCAAGTGTTCTAGAATTCCCATTCTTTGCAATGTTATCCACAATGTGTTATGATGCACACAATCGAATACCTTTGTGTAGTCAATAAAACATAGGTAAACATCTTTCTGGTATTCTCTGCTTTCAGCCAGGATCCATCTAACATCAGCAATAATATCCCTTGTTCCACCTCCTCTTCTGAATCTGGCTTGAATTTCTGGCAATTCCCTGTTGATGTACTGCTGCAACTGCTTTTGAATGATCTTCAGCAAAATTTTACTTATGTGTGACATTAATATTTTTCAATAATTTCTGCACTCTGTTGGATCACCTTTCTTTAGAATGGGTACAAATATGGATCTCTTCCAGTCAGTTGACCAGGTAGCTGTCTTCCAAATTTCTTGGCAGAGATGAGTGAGCACTTCCAGTGCTGCATCCGTTTCTTGAAACATCTCAGTTGATATTTGGTGAATTCCTGGAGCCTTGTTTTTCCCCAATGCCTTCAGTGTAGTTTGGACTTCTTCCTTCAGTACCATCCGTTCTTGATCATATGCTACCTCCCGAAACGATTGAACATCAACCAGTTCTTTTTGGTACAGAGACTCTGTGTATTCCTTCCATCCTCTTTTGATGCTTTCTGCATCGTTCAGTATTTTCCCCCATAAAATCCTTCATTATTGCAGCTCGAGGCTCGGATTTTTTCTTCAGTTCTTTCAGCTTGAGAAATACCGAGCATGTTCTTCTCTTTTGGTTTTCTATCTCCAGGTCTTTGCATATTTCATTATAATGCTTTACTTTGTCTTCTCCAGCCACCCTTTGAAATCTTCTGTTCAGCTCTTTTACTTCATCATTTCTTCCTTTGCTTTAGCTATTCTATGTTCAAGAGCAAGTTTCAGAGTCTCTTCTGACATCTATTTTGGTC